TTTAAAACTGGGGTTGAAGGTCTCAGGTGCTAGCTGATAACAGAAGAGAATACCACAGTAAAACTGAAGTGTGGTTTCAGTACCCTGCAGATTCCACGGTCAGGGATGCCTCCACAGATCTTGGTCTCGTCGAAGGTCTCCTCCCACTCTTTCCTGCACTCCTCGTCGCTCAGCACCGTCACTTGCGTCTCCCGGAGCTCGGGGGAGCTGTTTCTCCCCTCCCTGTCCACAGCCCCCCATCCCGCCACCGAGCACACGGTCCCGGGGGGCACCCGTCTCCACGGCACAGGAATCAGGTCCACGGTCTCCCCGAGTCTGGCCTTCTTCTTCAGCTGCGAGACAACAGACGCGTTCGGGACTGTTCGGGGACTCTCGCGCGGGACCCGAGCGCGCGTTCTCGAACCGCGGACCCTGAGCTTGTGGACCGCGGCCGCGCGCGTCGACCAGCGCCTTGTTTTCGCTTCTCGCCCAGTGTAAGTAAGCAAGATCACGAACGGGCTCAGGCAAACCGTTTGTTTCCTATTCCTCTTAATCCGTGGACAATAAAATCAAGCGTTTCTAATTACGTTCTAATCTACAGACACTGTAGCAAATCGTCCTTCGCCTTTTGATTGGGTTCATTAATTTAATTGTGGGGGTGATGGAATTAACTTTATAATTATTTGCATGTTTACATAAACTTTTACATATTTTTTTTATCTATGTGGTAATTTTTGATTATTTATTCATTTTATTTATTTATTTTAATTTTATTCGTCATCCTTTGGCTCATTTTGTGAAGACTGCAACTCAATCATGACAATAACACATTTGAACATCATGGCTCAATTGCAACGATCCTCCCGAGTTGGTACGCAGCTGCGTATTAAGTTGCGGTTTAGTTAGTACGGTACTTTCTGGCGATCATTTCCAGCTCTGAGTTCAATTGCAGCGAAAACATGTGCGGGACACAGTTGGAGTTCAGCTGAATTTGTGCTTAATCCGGTTTCCAGGGCTTGGCGTTGTTGTTGTCCTAATTAGCCCGAACTTCAGGGGACTGTGCATCAGAACATTTCAATTCATCTGATAAGTGGGTTAATACGTAGGCCACGTTAATATTGTAACGGGGTTCACGTGGGTATGCACCCTCACCGCTCAACAGGGACCCAGCCTCTTGAGCCAAAGGGAGATCTCCCGTCAGCCCCGCGGCTGCGGGCCCTGCTAGTCATAGGGAAAGGCGGTGACGTCACCGCGCTGGTAAACCGGCTCGCACAACCAACGGAGGCCGTATGCTATGCGTTTAAACTATACAATTATTACTTTGTCTGTTTCTTGTTTATATTTAAACTATATTTCCTGACAAATTAATGTTCGTTTTTAACACGAGAACTGCATTTAGGCTACAGTTTACCGGATGAGGGGACGTAGTTATTAATGAGCTACTCAACTGCTATTAGTTACGAAATAAAGGAGAGGCGCAGCGTTTGAAACAGAACTCTCTGTACGATCCATATCCTCATTATCCCTGCTTTTTTCTTTGATAACCACAATAAAATATTTAACAAATCGATTCAGTTGACTCCCATATTTTAAAGAACACATTGAAGGCTCACGCTCCGTTTCTATAACTATTTGCTTAAGTTCTGTTCTCTTCACTCCCTAGGATATCTTAACATTCACAGCTCGTAATAATGATTGACATTGAATGTAATTATTAGTAAATGACACTTTTGTTAACACACACGTATTAATAAACTTCATTATGAGTCAATGTGGTATGGGTGTTAAGCAATTTGAGGTAAATATTGCAATCATTTTCCAAGCGACGGATGCATAAATTCGGTACGTAGTGACGATATTATTTCCACGACATTCGAGGGCCTTCTAGTGCGATCTAGCGCTACGCCAAGTACGGTACTAAGCTGCTTAAACCATATGACGAGGTGGTGTAACTTAGTCCGCTACTTAAGTCACCTCTAGAGGGCAGCAGCTGTTATTTTGTGTTCGTTGCAATCGAGAACAGGTTTAGCACGGCGCTGCGGACTGAGCACAGCGGTAAAGTTCGTTGCAATTGGTCCTAAAGTGGAGCACAAGTTTAAACCGCAGCTGCGTACTAAGCACGGGTTGAACTCCTGTTAGTCCGCTGCTCTCAGTTCGCTGCAAGTGACCCCGTCTGTTCCAGCCACTCGGTGCCGCCATCCCTAAGATTCACGATTGACAGTTGTCTGCTTTCTAGCTTCTTAGCTCTCTGTAAGTTCAGTGCACACATCAATCTTTTCGACAACTGCAATGACGAAAGTTTAATGTACGATTTGTTTCCTGTGCTGGATAGTTTTAGTGAGGAAAACAAAAACGGCTCACCGTGACGTCACCGCTAATCTCCTCCCACCGCTAGTTTATTTCTGCCGAGTTGGGGCAAATTCTGCAGTAGAGGTGGGGGGGTCTGTATTTGTTCCTTTACAGCAGTAATGTAACATGATCTGGAGTGCTTACCTTCAGCAGCATGATGTCATAGGTCCCGTTGTTGTAAAGGGGGTGAGGAAAGGACTTCTCCACATCTATGACCTGCTGCGTCTCCTCATCTTGAAGGATGTTGTGAGCCCCAAGGAGTGCAGTGAGTTTGCTGCATGTATATACACATATACAAGGGGTGTATGAAGCAACCATGATACAACTCTGTGCATGGAGGAGTGGATTTGGAGCAGAGAAACGACAAAATAAAAGAAAAATAAAAGAGCGTTTGCCTGATGACACCGAAGGCCACCAGAGGGCGCAGTTTATTTCTCGATGTTTTTTTTTAAAGATTGCTGGCACTGTGACCCGCAAAAACTTCATTTCTACATTTCTTCTAAAGTTTGCTGGCAATGTGACCCGCAAGTAGATGATCGCATCGACTAAGAACCACTACAACAACAACCATAGCGATACCAATTCAGCAACGATAAATAAAAGTATTGAGCACCCTTTCTAATAATATCACAAGCTCCTGTCCAGGATTGTACAGTCCCATAGCTGTGAAGCCAGAAAACATTGATTTTAATTAAGTCCTTAGGCAACACATAAGATCAGAGTCTCTGCACAACAAGTTCAGAGGAGCAGTGTAGCAGTTCAATACCGGCTTTGTAATAGTAAGGAGATGAACTATTCAGCGCTTTATATGTCAGCAACAGAACCTTGTAATATGTTCTGTATTTGACAGGTAGCCAGTGTAAAGGAGCCAGGACAGGGGTTGCATGCTCCTGAGAACCAGACTTTGATAAAACCCTGGCAGCAGAGTGACTTATTAAGGAGTATACTGTAGCTGATGCACCAGTAAACAGGGCGTTAAAAGTGGCATATTCCTGATGCAACAAAGATATGACAAACATTTTCAGTAACCTTTAAAGAAAGGGGTGGTCTTAATATTGCATGGATGAAAAAGAAACCTCTGTATAAATTTCAACAATGTTAGTTAGAAGGTTTTTAACCGACATAGCAGCACTTGTTTCCATTGCACCTATAAGACAGTTTTCCCATTTGCATAGCTGGTGTGGGTAACTCATAACTGAGAAGAGCTTCACTTCTGCTCCGTGACTGTTAAAATGCAAAACCCTCCCCCACTGCTTGATTCCAGATGAGCGTCTTAACATCACTGGGCGACCCACAGCAGAGAGAGCTTCAGTCTGCACTTGGACAGTATGCACACTAAGATTTGAAATTGCTCGGCTTAATCAATTATTTTCTGCCTGATGTGTCCAAAAATGTCAATTGCTTAAATTCAGGAGGAGGGATCAGAACTAACACCCAGCTTACTGATTGACTATTATCTACCTCAACGGTAGAAGGCTTGAATCAAGGTGAATCAAAAGGTTCAAGTGAGCTCAAAGCCAAACTCATGAACTTTTTTGGAATAGCCAATACCTTTCCTTTCAAGAACCGTCCAGATGAGATCTTTGAATCAATTAGCAATTGATTTCCCAAATAAATGCCCCTCCCCCCTCTTGTTTAAAAACATATGATCTTATATTCTTGAGACAGATCAGATCAGACATGATAATTATCAGATCATGTTAGCTGGTAAGTGACAGAGGTTCTGTGCCGCACCATTTTCTGTGTGAACATGTTCCATCTGGTCACGTTTTATTACACCACATTACGTAATGTTTTAAAAGAGCTGGTCAACTTTGCAAGCCGGCATAGGCGGCACATTCGTGCAAGGGTGAGGACAGGGATAGAAACGAATGCTTACGTTCCTCCACAGCTTGCTGCAGTCAGGATGAAGTCTTTCCGAATCAGAAAGCCCAAACAGCTAGTGTGACGGTCGGCTCTGGATATTATCACATAGGCCATGTAGGGTCTGCTGTGAGGCTGGGCGACTTCGCCAGAAAACACTGTCGAGCAGACAGATTCAGTCACAGTTTGAACAGAAACCTCACCCAGAGCTTTCATCTCCAGCTGGCTATCGCTCCAGTGCCCAGCCTGACCAATAAGTGGTTTTCCACTGGCTTCTCTCACTACAGAGTTTCAGCCTTTTCTTTTGCAAAATGATCATTATTACTGTAAGACTAGATTAGACTGGATTAGAATTTGCACTTTGCCTACTGCTCCAGAATGTATTTGCTTAGAAGGCTCCCCTATCCAGTGTGATAGAGGTAGAGCAAAACTACTGCACTGTATACCAAAACTGCTACTGCGTCTTCTACTACTGCTACTGCTACTGCTATTGCTATTGCTACTACTACTGTTA